AATTATCCCCTAATAGATGACCTTATCTGTTATAAATGTTTTACGGCAGAATGGAGCGAGTGGTGGTCGGTCTTTATGATCGGATGATTAATTGTTGCTTCCGCTATTTATGAACTAATTTTATTATATTATGATTTTATGAAACTCTGAGATTATATGATTATGGAGAATAATGTTGGGGAGATGCCCCGTGAACACTGTGATGATTTTGGGAACCCAGTTTGGGTGATGGATGATTTTGAATGAACCCTATATGAGAGTTGAATATTATGATTGATGAAGTATGTTATGATTTGAAGTTATGTCATGAAAAGGGATTTTGAAATAAATGAGTAAAGCCACAAATATTTTTGAAATGAATGTTGAAAAATTTAAGTTGATTTTTATGAAAAGCCATGAATTTTCGTTAAATCAAAGTGGAGCGTTACAGTAGAAGAAGAAGGTTCATCCAGAGAAATCGTGAAGATGGGCATGACAGACTTGTAAGTGATTATTTTTCTGACCATCCAGTCTACCCGGATCATATATTTCGTAGTCGTTTCTGTATGCGAAGAGAATTATTTCTTCGAATTGTGAATGCACTTCAGACACGATCATCATTTTTCCAGCAAAACATTGATGCAGTAAGAAGACAAAGTTTGTCATCACTTCTAAAATGCACAACAACTATTCGTCAGTTGGCTTATGGAGTCCCAGTTGACCACCTTGATGAGTATTTACGTATAGGTGAGTCAACCGCTATCAAATGTCTTTTTAAATTTTGTGAAAGTGTGGTTCAAATTTTTGGTGATGTATATTTGAGAAGACCGAACAGTAGCGATGTTCAAAGACTCCTCCAAATGCATGAAGAAAATCATGGTTTTCCGGGTATGCTTGGAAGCCTTGATTATATGCATTGAGAATGGAAAAATTGTCCAGTAGCTTGGAAAGGCTAATTCACAAGAGGGCATGGGTCTCCTACGATTGTCCTTGAAGCGGTTGCTTGACACGATTTGTGGATATGGCACGCCTTTTTTGGTGTTGCTGGATCATGTAACGATATCAATGTATTATATGAATCTCCTCTATTTAATAATGTATTGCAATAAAATGCACCAAACCTTCATTTTACTGTCAATGGCACGCAATATGCAAATGGGTATTATCTTACAGATGAAATATATCTAGAATAGGCTATGTTCGTAAAGCCTTTTCCTTGCCCGTCAGATCCTAAAAGAAAGTTATTTAAAGAAAAATAAGAAGTTGCTCAAAAGGATGTGGAAAGAGCATTTGGGGTGCTTCAGTCTCGATAGAAAATTGTAAGAGGTCCTGCTCGGTTTTGGTATAGAAGAAAACTAAAATTTATTATGTTGACATTCATTATTTTACACAATATGATTGTTGAAGATGAAGGAGATGTAGTAACACATTGCCACAATGACGAGGATGAAGAGCCCGCACAACCTGTCCAGGGTTTAAATCAAGAATTTCAAAATTATATTCGTAGAAGTTCAGATATACGAGATAACACAAGGCATCATCAACTTCGTGCTGATTTAGATGAGCATATTTGGACTCATTTTGCCAACAACTAGAAAAAATATTTTTTGTAATTGTACTCTTTTTTTCTTGTGTAATCTTATTGTACTCTTTTTTCTTGTGTAATCTTATTTAAGTTATTTTGGTCTTGTAGTGTTCTTTCATTTTCATGCATTTAAAATTTATTTATTATAATTTAAAAATATTAAACTTTATTTCAGTTGAGAATAGAATATACAAATTTATATTGAATGAGTGGATAATGGATCCCACATATGTATTTAAATGAATAGGAATGTGGGTGTGTGTTTAAATAGAGAGATATTTAGTGAAAAAAATGATGTGGATGAGAGAGAGTGTTACTTTTTGATTAAATGAATGGTATTTGTGTTAAAGGGTTGTGGATGCCCTAAGGCCCTAAGAGAGTGATATGTTCAAATAAATAAGAATTATTTAATACTATTATTATTAGAAAATGAGAAAGAATGTAGCGAGAGGTAACGAAATAATTGAATTGTTTTAAAAAGTGAACAAATTATTACTCTTGTTAAGGAAGAGAGATGAAAAATGTGTGACAAGTGACAACCCCAAAGCCTGTAAGTTGAAGGAACACGGCAAAGGAAAAACATGCAAGAGCATAGTGATTTTTGTGATTATGTAATAGAGATTTTATGTTATTTTTTTTCTTTTCTTTTCTTTTTTTGTTTTTTTTTTGTTTTTTTGGAACTTGAGATTTTGATTTGGACAGTGATGGCAATATTTTTCGGATTTTGGTTGGAGAGTGATCTTCTTCTTCTTCTTCTTCTTCTTCTTCTTCTTCTTCTTCTTCTTCTTCTTCTTCTTCTTCTTCTTCTTTTGTCTCAATCAATTAAAAGAATATCACAATCAAAATGAATCAAATTTTAACAAATAAAGATAGAAAAAAAAATATGAAATTTAAATTATGTGCACGAGTAGATATTAATTAACACAAGAGATGAATGTCTGTTTCTTTGACGGATGAATGTCTGTTTCTTTGACTTTTTTTTTCCAATTTTATGGCAAGAAGAACAAAAAAAGCAGAGAGAGGGAATGAGAACCTATAAAAAAAAACAGGCAGAGGGAATGCGAATCATTGGCAGAGATTTGTGCATATTGGATCTACACGTAGGCCGATAAACACATAAGATTGTGTAGATTTGTAGGAGTAAATTAGCCCCTGCACCACCCAATGTTTTATTAATTCCAAAATTACAAATATGGATATATATCTATATATATCGGCCTACGTGTAGGGCTAATTTACTCCTACAAATCTACACAATCTTATGTGTTTATCGGCCTACATGTTGATCCAATCTGCACAAATCTCTGCCTAACGATTCTCAT